CTCTACTAATAGGGTTTTGTTAAGGAACGATGATCGTAACCGAACCTATGTATTAATTTGCTTAACTATGATATGGTGTTCCTCATTCTACTTCCAATACGTGTGTTGTGTATTTTAGAAATTCATTAATATATTTATGCAGGAATGTGAGATTTGGGATTCAAAAGTAGTCGTCACAATCTACCGGCATTCAAAGCGGCTCATTTTCTCGTCCCTCTTTAGAATTGACATCCAACGAGACTCATTCTCTAACTGGGTGACTTACAACACTAATTTTTCTACGGGAATAAGTCTTTCCAGTGTCGGTACCTTATCTACCGTGAGGATCCTCCAACAATTTGAAGCGTTTAATTTTTAAAAAAGGAAATCACTCAATACTCAATGTGCTCATAAATCTGTTAGGTAGATAATCTACGTGCAATTTAAGACTCAGAAGTAGTAGTTACACATTTCTCATATGATTCTCGAACCACTAGTAAAATTTAAAATTACTTTCCCTTCAAGAACGTTGTTAGAAGATAATATTTCTCTCCAATTTGTGTGGCTTCTGCTGGAACCAAAACCTTCGCACCATTAGTTGGCCACGTTGCTCGCATAAGGGTTGTAATGAACACTCGAAGATTGAGCCTGCAATTTTAGTAGAGATACACCTAAAAAAGTTTACATAGACATCAAAAGTGATGACGCAATTGAATTTCAAGTTTCAATCATGTTTCTCTTCATGCTGGCGAACTCCTTATCTCAATTAAATTTTAAACTACGATTTTCTTTCACAATTTATAGTTGATGATAGCAATACCATCGAGTGTTTCTTTCATAGCTCGATGAATTGACACCGCTTAAAGATTTCAATCAGCTCGATATTATTTGCGTTGTTTTTCGCCGTCCTCCCTTTTGCAACAACAGTGATATGTTTGGGGGGGGAACAAACATCATTGGTAACGCTCTAAAAAATGAGCATGTTTTCCAAACAATGCTCGACTGAATTAGACAATACGAGAAATAAGTTTTCAGATTCTTTATTACTTTTGATCGATCTAATACCGAATACTTGTTGGGGATAGTCAATGATTCACTTGTTGTACGCATTGAAAGAAATTCCACTTCCACAAAGAAATTCCACTGCCACAACAGACGGATGAAGTTCATTCATACCCCCACCACCTGAAAATTGCATTGCGCTTTTCTGTTTGATTTGTCACTTCAAAATGGTTGAAGGGAAACACCCTTCTTTTTTACTCAAAAGTGATTTGAGAATCTTATTTTCCATTTTAACTTTAGAAAATGCCCGTCTTTACATAGACTATTAATGTCGAACATTAGAAATTCCTAATTCTATGCTATTGAGAACGATAAAATTGCACTAAGAAAATAGGCACAAAAGAATGTCCAAGTTCTATAGAGGTTTATCCAAATGTGAAACTACATCATTTTTTGCCGTTGTAATGGTTCACTATGATGAAAAAATGAAGTTTACAAGAGAAGTCGCATTCCTTAAACTCTTTCTATTTTTTTTCCTCTTAACCTCTCTCTTTTTTGTTAATCGAACAAACCCTTACGACGGTTCTTTATTAATAAGAAAAATTTTAGGCAACCGAAACAAGTGAAATTTATAAACTACGGACATTAATAAAGTTGGATTGACCGATTTTGATCAATTATTTGAGTGGGTCCCGATGGTAGGACGTGAGATTTTTTTGACCTAGTGCATTCTACTCAGAAAGCAGATTAACACAATATATTTATTTTCTCAAAATTAATCTTGGATGAATGATAAATTATGATCAAAATATGCCACTTGAAGTTGTAAAAAGTTTGAAGACAAAAATGGTGGGAAAGAAGTATCCAATTCCACGGAGGAAAGCTAAAAGTTAAAAGGACACTTTATAAAACTTAAGTTTGACGTTTGGAATTGGGTCCCAATAAGGATCAATACTCTTTGAAAAGGAGATTACCCTACATGTTAGTGGGTGGGGTCAATTCCACACGTGCGTACTCTCGGACGAGGCACGGGTGTTGGAATTGTAGTGAACCATGGAAGATGAAAATTAAATTTCATTTTCTACCTTTTTGCATGTTTGATTGTCCAAATTTTTCATGGAATTGGTTTTTCATCTGTCATCCACATGCTCACATTTTCTTGATTTTTGGTGGAAAAATCTTTTCTATGCAATTTTTTTTTATTTGGCGATGGAAACAAATTATATCTCCAATTGTAACAAATTCTATCTTTTTAATGGACAATTTTCATGGAAAACAAAATCAAACGAACACAAAAAGATCAAAAATCTCAATATTTTTCAGGTGAAAAATTATACCAATCAAATACAATTAATTGACAATGCTCAGTAAAACAAATTCTAGACAATTCAATTCTCTAAAATTCATTTTCTTTCTACCCAAATTTCATTTTTGCAATCAAACGGACTCTAACTGTATTATTTATTTCCTTCTATTTGATTTTCAAGTAAGTCAAAATTCTATCCAATTTTTTTTTACACAAAGATTGATTTAATATATATTTATGCACGGTAAATCATTGATTTTCAACAATAATTAAGCTCCACGCCTTAAAAATTAGTATATATGATGCTCGTATCCATTGTCCCCAACTCGGATTTTGACATTTCACTATATTACTTTTGAATAGGAAGTAACGAGATATCACTTTGAATGTGATGTCATTTACAATATTTAGTGAGATGTCAAAATTTGAATCGGCGTACAACTATTTTGAAACAGCAAATATCAAGTCAATGGACAATGAGAGATGAGCACTAGGTTATTCTCAAGTATTTGATCATAGTAATCAATGTTAAAGATTTCCCATATAGCATAAAACTTTAAAATCGAACCAAAATTCTTGTTTTTTACAATAGTCTTTTTTGCATTATTTCTTTCTTTTATGCTACCAAAAACAAAACCTATTATAGAAAGTAGTAGGGGCGGATGCAGATATTTTGAGTTAGAGGGTACAATTAAACTTACAAAAAAGTTGTGAAGAATTTTACATCGAAAATTTATACAGTATGATTTTTTTGGATGTAAAGTTTGAATTTTTTTTTTTTTTTCATATTCCATATAAAATTTTTTAATAAAATGATGTAAATTATATTAAGAAATTTGTATCGCGAAAATAATAATAATTGAATTTTTAAAACAAAAAAACGAGTTGATGCGTCTTTTTAAAATGCACATTTGATTCATCTTTAACTATGATATAGTTCTCGAAACAAGTTTTAAAATGATATAGGCAATTTGTGGATTCGACTAGCATACGATCGTTTAAGAATTTTTAAAATTAACACGTTATTCAAATTCTTGAAATATTAGTTTGGAACGGTCTACTTTGACCAGCCGTAATAGGTGGTTTGAGCGCGTATAACGACGTGTAAAATTAAGTCGTGAGCAGTTTAAAAAAATTGACCCCCGAAGTTCGTGACCCTTGCCACACCTGTATCCGTCCCTGAGAAATAGTACGAGTTTTTTGATAATAAGATATCGATGCAAACATAAATAAATAAGTGTTTTTTTTTTAAATAATATTTTAAGAAAAACATTGTTCTAAAAATATCTAAGGGAATGGCTGGCTGAGTTGAGATTCTAGAATATACACCAAACAGAAAACTGATCAGAGCCACAGAAAACGCCACATACGTGGAAGGTAATGCCGCTACAGTTGTGGACCGACACTGTATTGTTACGTGTACGGTCGATATTTACTTGCCTCTCTCCTCTATTGCCCTATAAATAAAGGTGATTGGTTAAGCTTCCAAATTCAAATCACTCTCTGTTATAAACCAAACGAAAATGTCTTGCGGTGGAGGAAACTGTGGCTGTGGCTCTAGTTGCCAGTGCGGCAATGGCTGTGGAGGGTGAGGCTTTTTATTTATTTATTTTTATATTTCCCTTTTCATTTCCTATTCCGTTTGTTAATTTTCATGGATGAAAATGGATTTTATCAGATGAATTTGAATGCATTATGATTGCAGGTGCAACATGTACCCGGATTTGAGCTATTCGGAGGCTACTGCAACCATCACTGAGACGGTCATCCTTGGCGTTGCACCTCAAAAGACGTATGTATTAGTTTGAATTTCCCAAATTCTGCTCCATGATCTCAATTTTAATTACTTTTTGCAAAGGAATGTGAAATTAATTTATGAGTTTGTTGAATTTTTCAGATATTTTGAGGATTCCGAGACTAAGGTGGGTGCTGCTGCAGCTGAGAATGGGTGCAAATGCGGAGATAATTGTACTTGCAATCCATGCAATTGCAAATGAAGCGCTAGCTCTAACTCAGGATCTGAAGCAGAGTTGAAGAAAAAATCAAGTGTTAGTAATGAACTGTGTGTATGTTTATGGTAAATCATCATCATCATCATCATCATCATCATCAGATGATTGTATGTTTATGGTAAATCATCATCATCATTAGATGATTGATTAATGTGTGCCTCTATAATAAAGTGGCCATGAGAGTTGATGATTTGTGGCTGATTAATGGTGTTTAGTTTTTGTACATGAAGTAATGGATAATGTTTGTGATATCATCTCTACTTATTTATATTAATGAAAAACTACTTTCTTTCATTTTTGTCTCTCTCTTATCTTTTCTTGTGTTTTGGGAAATATTTCATGGGGGTGAATCAAACGAGGGTTCGATTTTGATCCGTTAGAGAAGAAATTTCTTGTAGGCACAAGAATCATCTTCAAGACTTTCTTTCACGTTCGACTTAAGTTGAATTTTAGTATCAATTGATTTGGTCAATTGGGTTCATAACGCGAGGTAGCGCCCTCCTAAAATGGACAATCCGTGCGACATCTTGAACACGCAGACTAGATAACACAAACATCTTTCTGAAAATCTCACTAACAAGTTAAGAATAATGTAGTGTTAAAATTGAGTCGAGTCATCTAATGCAAATAATGTTACAATATTAAACTGTCGTTAGAGCACAGGTAAAACAGATTCGAACAACAAGATGTTGTGCTCTAATTCATTCAAATACTCCTCTTGCAGCCCTACCAAACATGTTATGCACCTGCAATTATTAATTCAATCCGCGTTTTCAGCTGAAATTTCATTGCCAAGAATCCTGTGAAATATTGAGATTGCATTCAAATATATGCATTACCTGTTTCGATGTAAGGCCTATCTTTTCCAGGTCATTTAACTGCAACCAACCAAAAAGATGCAATTCATCATATAGATAAGATTTTAACTTCATTTTTCCTTTGGAAGAGTGTATAAATTCTTGAAAATAATATATATATCTTACCGACTTCAATGGGCTAATTTCTCTTTGCTCGATTATGTAACTGGCCATCTTTTGTCCAATTCCCTGAATGAGTTAGGCATACGGTTAATGACAAGTAAACTAACAAAGACAACAAATTGTGACTGCAAGAATACGAGAACTTAAAAGATGGAAGAATACCTTCAACTGTAGGAGCTCCTCCCTAATATAGAGTACCACAAAGGCATGAGAAAGGTGGAGAGGAAAGAGAATAAAAATAAGTACAATACCAAAAATGCAAGAAGAAACCATGAAGCTCGAGTAATTTACCTGCTGGCTGCATTCAAAAATTCAATGTACTCTTGCGCAAGAGAGCTCTGCCATTGATTCAATCAGTTTGATCAGAATCAATGAGGAAATGATTCTCGAGTAATGACTATTGACATCAAATCCTCAACTTACCTTCAAGTTAGAACTCTGGGAGTTAAATTTATCAAGTGGGGTGCAGTCCCCTTGAAATTTGTTTTCTACTTTTAACGGAGTGAAATGTGGCTTAGGAGTCTTCGGATCAGAAGGAACCAAATATGTCGTGTCCACGTTGGAGTTAATAGGAGAAAGAACTTTTCTCTGAGGACTACAAAGTCCTGTAAATCTCTTGCTAACTGGTGACAACTGAATGGAGTTGAGACTATTGATTATTTTCATCTCCTCATTGTTCACCGGTTCATCTTCAAAAAAAATAAGATCATAAATCCATGTATACATATCAATTGATTGTTTCTGAAAGAAAAGTCATTTTCACTTCATTAAAAAACAATTCATTGACATCAGAAACCAACTGAAAAAGTACCTGATTCTAATGCACCCCCTTCAGTTGGAGCATCAGACTTGTCTTTCATAGTTTCAGCAGCAGCAAGGTCTTGAGCCTGTCATATATCACATAAGAATAATATTTATTGGATCTATTGTTATATGTTGTATGCCTACAATTTAACCAAGCTTCAGGAGATATCATTGAACCATGATATTTCAAAATTTATGTATCGGTCCCCATCCTGATTAGCAACTTCTGATATCCCTACTACCTCTCTCAATACATTTTTCTTTGTACAGATTCAATGTTAAATGCTTGATTGGATAATATCATAAGTTGATGAAAGTGTAATGTGATATATAAGTAGTTGTGGTCCAACGAAATGTGTGGTTAAAATTAACGTTTGACCTTTAAATTATAAGTAACTTGTAATTTTTTCCAAAACAAGCATTAAATATGTTAACTGCCTTGAGAAGTTAAATCAATATTAAATTGAACTCAAGATTGTGCAGTGATGAACATCTTTCCACCTCTATAAGCACTTGTTTATAAAGTCCACAAGTCTGAATTAGTCTGTAACCCATAAGTTATCACCAGATAATATATGATATGCCAAATGACTAAAAAATTATTCTACAAGTTGTTGTAGCTTTCACTAACCTTCTTTCTTCATTTGATACAAAAGGGAGGGGCAGTGCAAAATGAGTATGTGTTTTACCCCATTAATTCTTAATCATTTATAGGTCTAGAATGATAATCTGCACAAGTTTGAAAAACAGTACTTACTTGCATAGAAGGATCTACATAATCTCCATTGTTAAATAAATTTCCACTGTCCACGCATGGAACCCTGTAGACTACAAATGGATTGTTTAATAATAGAAACAAAGACATAAGTTCTACATCAGGTAATGAGCTGGTTAATTATTACCTCTGTTTCAAATTGGAAATACGTTGGCTGCTAACAAACTTTGCTTCTGAGGAGTGAAGATTTGCACTCAGTTTCGTTACCGAATTCACAGAAACAGGAGTTCTACCAGTAAATGGAGAACGTAATCCAGCAATTCTTTGAGCACTTTTTGTTTTGCCTTTTGATTCTAGCCAGGCACGAAGCTTAGCCTCCATGTCAACTTTCACCATAGGAGTCGTATTTTTCTGAGCTGAGGATACAGAATTAGAAATGTGGCGAGACCTAGCCGCCAAGCTAACTGTATGAACAGATTCTTGGTACTCTCCTGGGTTCTAATGCCAAAGAAAGGTTATGTTGATAAAGAGTCGAAAAATATTTTCCATTTTAGATTCAACGAGATGCATATATCTTAAAAGATCAAATTCCTACCAAGCAGGCGACCATAAGAGCATGACTTGTCCCTCCAAGAGAATCCTGTAATATGCGCGTCAATTTGCTTTCTCGATAAGGTATTCTGGACATGCCGTTATTTAGTGCATAAATCACATTTGAGAGTGCAAACAAAGACAGGTTTATCTTGGAACTTTCTTGAAGACGAATTCCGTCATTGCAAGTCCTTCTGTTGTCTTCATTTCCTGATTAAATTACATTAAAGGATTCAAAATGAGTAAAAAACTCTTGCTGAGATCCATAAATCAGTTAAATGGATAGCTAAAAAACCTGCTAAATCAATGAGGTTTAGCTTCCCAGTTATCATATTTCCAACACTATCACGAGAAGGGGTGGAAATTGTAATCACAAGCACCCCATGGCTCCTGCTAGATACATCATTGAGGCCTGTACGTGCAACCTTTCGCCTCTGAAGAGCACAAGAGAAAATCTCATGGAATGAAGACATTGAGTTAACTTCAACTTGAGCCAACCCCTTAAGATGAACATGACCATCTTTGTCTTCCCACACCACGATCTCCTGTTCTTTAAGTTCTAAAAGATCATAACATCGGTCCAGGTACACTTCATAGTATGATATTGCAACGGTACTTCCTGTTCTCTCACATGCAGACAGAATATTGGACATGGAAAGTGACATTAAACCTGGTAGCTCATCACTGCCCTGCATAGTTAATTGATTCCCAACACATTATGCACATGTACACACCATCAACGAGGTTACATACAAAACAACTAATTAGATTAGTATCATAGATTGTTCAGTTAATTTCCAATTTTCCAAACCTATAGAATGGAGGAGTATTTATTCATCATGCCCAAAAACAAAATTAAGTATTGACTTAGAAGGGGGCATATGGCTGGCCTAACCTCCAGCCAATGAAAAACGGAGCATGAGATTTAACTGGTCCATAGGACTGAGGCTAAGGAAAAAAGGATTGCAATTCTATATTTCACGTGTTTCATCATAGTCACTCTCTTCATCGAAATTCACCAAAATTTTCCGTATCCCAACTTTGAGAGATCTAATCCTTCATCAATATCAATGTGCATGTAGCCCAAGGCATCACCAGAGTAGTAATTTTCAATCTAATTCAATTTTCAGTAGAAAATAATAGGAGCTTCAAACTTGTAATTAGAGGACAAGCACATTTTCATACTCAACACGCCTCTTAAAGACTGAATGTCTATTTGCTAGCTCGTGGAGAATGGATTAAAATTTGGGGGGATATCAGAAGCACAACAAAAAGTCCTGCTCATGGGACCAATATCTTATACCACGTTGAAAGACCAACCGATTAATGAAAATCTTAATTTTTTTTTTCCATAGGCTTTAATATCCTAATTTCTGACTAGAAATAACATTGTTTATGCAGGCTTTTCATTATGTGCACCAATCTATATTATTTGAAATCAGGAGTTGTAGATGTGTGTGTTTTAGTCTTTGCTATTAGTACATGAACCTCTCAGATGGAATTACAATACCATTCTTCTTGTTCTCTAGGGAAAACTAAAAGAGAAAGTTTTAACTTCTTGGTTAATATAGTGAAAATTAAGATTTTGATGCTTAGGCTTAGAACATACCATTATATTCTTCTTGTTTACTAGGGAGAACTAACATCAGTCTCAAATTCTTGGTTCAGATAGTAAAAATCAAGATTTGATGCATATGTGTTTAGAAATGAAACCTGCATCGTGTAAGTCTTTCCACTTCCAGTAGCCCCATAAGCAAAAACTGTTGCATTATAGCCCTCAAAAATTCCTGGAATCAAAGGACTCACTTCTCTCTGAAAAATTTCGCTCACATTCTTGTCTTCTTGCCCAAAAAATGCATCCAATTTGTAACACTCATTTCGACTGCACAAAAAAAAGAAAGAAAGAAAAGAAAAGAAACCCTCGTATCAAATCACTAATAAAAAAATTACAAGTCGAAATCTTGAAAAATATGATTAAGACCTACCTGGTTTCTGGATCTTGGAGATGAACAGTAACTTCATCACCAAATGTCTCAGATTCCGAGTTAAGAAGAGAAATACAAGAGATGGGATAGGCATTTGTTGAGGAAATTTCATGAGGGAGGAAAGGCCGGACTCTGATGATGACTCTGACCTTTGAGATTGAACCGGGTTGCTGGTGCTGGGAGTGAATTTTCGACGGGGTGTAAAGGTTCTCCATTTGAGTTGTGTCAAAAGAACCAATTCGTGTTGCCATCTCGAAAGAAGAATTCTCAAAAATAGGAGAAATTTGTCAATTTCTTGATGAAAGAGAAGGATGAAGATGAAACTTATGTACCGTTGGACGTTAAAGGAGAATTTTGAAGTTTGAATTTTAGTGCTTGGAAAGTTTGGAAGATTTGAATTGCGCTTTGGCCCGCTACTTTGCCAATAGAATAGGGTTTAATACATAAATAAGGTATTTAAGTATCACAATTTCAAAATTAAGGATAGATGTTTTAAATTTCAAAAATTAGGATTAAAATTTATTTATAATTTAATTAATTAATTATATATTTTATTAATTAATATATAAATATCACAGATCTATGCAATTTGATTACAAATAAAAAATTTTAAGGTCACAATTCAAAAATTTTATAGGTCATAGTTCGTTCATCGATCACAAATTAAAAATTTAGAAGTCACAATTGTTGACCTATGGTTGACGTCTCGTTTTGATTATCACAAACATATTACGTTTATTTCTAACAAATTGATTTCGAGTGTCTATAGTGCTTATTGCAAATCAAATAAAATTGAAGACACGAGATTCAAGGTCAAGAAATTTGCATGCAACAATCGACATGAAAACAAAATTGATTAAACGAGGCTATGAAGATTGATATTGAAAAACTCAATAAAAGATACATCAACAACAATCGAGACAAAAGTCGAAGTACGTTCAAGCATGCACGTCAAGACGTTCAAAGATTTTAGACTTTTTACAATCATATGTAAAGGTAAAACATTTCAATACTTGACAATAAATTGAAATGAGCTCAAGTTTTGATTTTACGATCGAAAAACTCACGACAAAACAGTTTTACTCGTAAACTATGTTTTCAAGGGAAAAAAATCAAGGAACGTAATTTTGAAATATAACAAATACCTTGAACAATCATTTTTAAACATCCCTCGAGCACTTACATTTGTTAAAAATTAAAATGAGGACGTTTCGGCATAAAACAGCCATACCGGACGTCCGGGATGGTAGTTTTAGCGCCAACAGTCAAAAATTCAACTGTTCTGATTTTTTGACAAAACGGCTAGTTGGCCGTCCGATATGTAGCGAATGTCCGATACACTACGTCCAGTACGACAGAGTTTTTGATGATTTTTCATCTATAAATATCAATTCATTTTGCATTCAATTCTAATCTTGTCAGAGCAATAAGTGAGCATTTATTGAGATAAATCATTGATCTTCATTATTTATTAAACCTCATAAATTGATTTATACTTGAAAAACTTTTGATCATTCTAAACCTAGAAAATCAATTTCTATTAAAGTTTTTCAAATCCAACACTTCAGCCATACTTATTGTCATCTATCGAAGTGTTTGCGTTATTCTCTTCTTGTTCTCAACTTTGAATCTAATACTCATTAAGAAAAGAAGATTTCACTTGTAATCTCATTTTAAATTGTGGGTCGTGTTGAGGTCCCCGAAAAGCTCAACGTTGTAAAAATATCGGTGCTCCTTTGTTGTAAGTCACTGGAAGCGTTGTAAAGGGTTGGATTGCACCATAAATCAATCAATATAGTGAAAAAGGCCTTGCTCGTACCGGAGAACTTGGTAACGAGGGACGTAGATCATTGTATTGGATCAAACCTCCATATCATATCGTTTACACTCGCTATCCCTTTTACTTAACACTTCTACTTTGTGCAAATTTACATTGTTCAATTTACTTGCTTACTTGTGTTTAGATTATTCACTATCATTTGTGTGTGCATTATATTAAAATTTTGAGTGATTAACGAAAAAGTTGTTATAACCAATATACTCCTTATTGGTTAGCCAATCTTGGGCTTTCAACAATTTGTTCATCGGTACAAATCACAAAATTTATAAGTCACACAACTTATTTTATGGTCACAAAACATCAAATTATAGATCACGAATTACTTTTATTGGTCACAACTCGATTATAACTTAATAAAATGTGAGTTACAGTCACAATTTTTAGGTCACACATTATTAATTTGTCAAAAATTAATCAATTATTAGTCACAATCAATCAAATAATTGGTCACAGACACCCACATCCATCTCATCCCACCCACGACCATCGTCAAAACACCACATACAGCACCGCACACACCACACCGCAATCGTTGCCGTACGTACACCCACCCAACTACAACCGCCGACGCACGCATGCACACACTCGTTAGCAGTTCATTCACCCACAGTATCGCGATCGCACCCACAGCACTGCACGTGCACACACCCGTTCACACTTCGCGTCGAAGTAACGACACCCACACCTCAACCAACACCACACAACACACCTCCACCACATCAATCAAAAATTAAAAAAAAAAAGAACGGATCTGCACCAAGACCACTGGATCTGCACAAAGCCACCGGACGATGTTGCACTGTCTCGTGGAGACTAAGCTGCCGACGGAGAGGGAGTAGAGTGGAGAAGAGAGAAGGTGGAGAGACGGACCGTGTGTGGAGAGACGGTGAGAGAGTGGAGTGGAAATGGATTAGTTTAGGGTTTGGATAGTGTAGGTAGATATAAAAATAAAAATAATTTTTTTTAAAAAATATTTAATTAAAACCTGATTTTTGTATTATGAAACTAGATACCTGATTTATGAAAATGATATTTTAAAACCGGGTGTAGGTGTAATTTCCTCTATAGAATATTAATACGGGGCCGTGAACTGAGAAAGGAAAACCTGAACGCGGATTTATTTACTTCATATTTCATCTCAAGTGACGTAATCAGCGTTCTAAAAAGCTCAAATTTTTTTTTCAATTCCCAAATGTCTGAGTGTTTTCTATCATTTCTTTCGTATTTCCTAGGATCGCTTTATTAGTTTTTTATTTTTATTTTCCTTTTTTAAAGTCATTATTTGACTTCAGCTTATCAAATTTTTTTTTAAAAATTATTTGACTTTAATTTCAAGTTTTTAAAAGACTTTAACTAAATTGTTAAAATAAGATTTAAGCTATGATGCTATTTACGTTATGTAATTATGATCTGAGAGTCGTTATTTTGGTGTAAACTTCAAAAGTATGTATGAAGTTTCTATAAAGCTATTTAGTAGGACTCATATAATTGAAAATTGAAATTATGAAAAATATTCTACATTTGTATTTCGAAAACTTGAAAAATTATATAATTGACTAATGTAAGATTGCTGCTTCACTTGTCAAAAAGGGTACAAATCCTTTTTAATTTTGGATAAAAGTTGATAAAATATATAGTTAAAAATTTGATAGTTGTGAATTTTATCAAATATGTGGTTGAAAACAAATTTAAAAATAATAATTTTTCTAAAAATGAAAGCCAAACAGAAGCTTTAGAAAAACAGTCAAATACAAAAAAGTTTCATTAAAAAAAATGTTTGGTCCGTCTTCGAAAAATATAGCATTTCTATTTTTTACCTCTACCTCTTTCTTTCCTTGTTCTTCCTCCTCTAGCTTTCTTCATGAAATTAGGGGCTCTCTTGATGGAAAGTAGGGGTAACGAACAGGTTGAACCGTTTGTCGGCTCCCCATCTCGACTATACCTATGGGATGTTGAGGCTTGTATTTAGAGGAGATATGGACCAAGTCGACTTAGAAAATTTTTCACGAGCCATATTTTATTTAAGAAAAAACAAGACGGCTCGTGAGTTCAAGAGTCATCTCATGTCCAAACGAGCTGAGGAGCTGAATTTCTGGACACGAGCCGGGCTTAGGTGTTTAAAGCTCATTTGGCTCATTGATGCACCTAATGGAAGATTAAGATATTGAGACCTTGTTTGGCACCCATTTATTGAAACTCATTTTATATTTTTTCAAACTCATTTTCAATCATAAATTTTATGGGATTCACAATTTTTATCAACTTTTCAACTACACATTTCACCAACTTTTATAAAAATTATTTTTTATCCAAACCAAATAGGAGCTGAATGATACAACATTGTTAGTTCTGCAATGAAGTTCATAAGACTGTTCAAATCATTTGAAGGAGCATGGCCAAGGTGAAGGAGGGTGAGGCTGGGAGCACAAATAGAAGGGGCATGGCCTCGGGGGACTTCCATTTGCTAGCTTTTACATATTTCATGCATCGTGTTTTTATTGCTGTGACTTTCGTCGGGAGTTCTCAGTCTTTTATAAGTATAATATAATACTCTTGTTTTCAATCTATTATTTGATCACGTTTTCATGGATCGGATCTGCCTATATCCGATCCGATAAGAAAATTATTCGATCCGATCCGATAATCCAACGGATATTTGATTGTTAAATCCATATCCGATTTGCTACGTTTATCGGATATTCGATCCGATAATCCGATCCAAAATTAATAAAAATTAGGAAAAAAATCAATATTCTTTAAAAAAAANTTTCTATTGACATTCGATGTGGGATAAGATAAAATTGAATTTCATTTCTAACTATAAATATTTTATTTCATTATTTCCCATTAACAAATCAAATTATTTGTTACATATTAATTATTAGTTTTTGAAGTTGTAAAATAAATTACAATAATAAATTTAATTAAGAAAAATATAGATATTTATTTACTTTAAATTAGTAAACTAAAATTTAAAAAATATATTGTTTTTATAATAAAAGTTTGTATATAAAAGTTGAAGTCATCATTTGAATTGTTTTTGGATGAATGATTTTTTTTTTTGGGAAACTTTACATTACTAGTCTGAAATCACGTAGGTCATCTAATGTTTAGCCCCTGTTTGGCCCCCATTATTTTCCATTACATTACATTAATTTTTTATCTCTCTTCATCTCAACCATACATTCATCAAATAAAATAATAATACACACAAATCTAAAACTTTTCAACCACACATCTCCCATCAATCACTATTGTAAAAATTTTCAACCCCCCAAAAATCAACAATAATGGGGGCCAAACAGGGGCTTAAATGAGTGTTTTTCGATAAATGGGGATATGAGTGCCACTCTTACCAAAATAAAAAAAGAAAAGAAAAAGAAAAAAAAATGTTATTAAGAATCTATAGTA